CGTGGCGGGGGGGGGGGATAGAGAGAGAGAGCCTGTTACTTTACGACACGGAGTGAGCACTGTGCACGAGATCGGGCAATGGACGTGATGCGTGTTGTGGGCGTGATAACGTGTGTGTGTGGAAGGGTATGTAGTAGTTGTGGTTGTGCAGTAGTAGACAGCAGCAGCAGCCAGCAATTGCCGGGTGTGCAATAAGACCGGGGGGGGGGGGACGGGGTGTGGGTGTGGTTGTGGTTGTGGTGGAGAGGGACAGAGAACAACCGCAACGACACGCTAGGAGAGAGACGGGCAGAACGGTCACCGACACCAAGGCGACAGAGCAGAATGGGGGAGTGGGGGAGAAGATCGAGATAGATCTGGCTGGGGGTGGCTATGGGGAAGAGGGGGGGGGGGAGATTATAATATACCGTAGACAAGCAACGAGGCGAAGGAGAGAGAGAGAGCGAGAATACTATTAACGTGAAGAAGAAGAGAGGATGTCGAGATGCAGAGAGGAAGAAGGGGGGTAGAAGGACAGATGAAGAAGAGAGGAAAGAAAGAGAGGAAGGGGAGGAGAGGGAAGAAGAGGGAAGAGGGAGAGATAGTGAAATAGAAGGGAAAGGGAGGGGGGGGGGGTGGCAGAGGACGCACACGTAGAATGGGCGAAGACACACCCAAAGCGAGCGGGGGGGGGGGCGGAAAAAGAGCGGCCGGGCGTGGGTTGGGTGGGCGTGCCTTTGCAAAGGGCGGAGCAGCTAAGCCAAGCTGACCATAGAGAGGATGCATGTGCGGCGAAGCCGTAGACCGACTGGGTAAGGCGCGTAGACCCCCCGGGGGGGGAGTGTGTGTGGAGGGTGGTGATGGTGATGGCTATGAGGGTGGGCCATTATCATTGTGGGACGGACGGTAAAAGAAAACATGCGCGGGTATGGAATAAATAAATATAGAGAGGGAATAGGAACATGTCGAGAGCAAGCAGTTGTTGCAATAAGAAAAGAGAGAGCACTCGAGAGGGATCTATCGCGGTTATTGCCTCAAGGCGACAAAGGTGCTCCTCCTCCTCCTGCTACAATCACGACTACAACTACTGCTACAGCTACTGCTACTGCTACAGCTGCTCTTCCTACATACACCTCATCCTCCCAGTCCTCGTCGTCGTCATCGTCATGCATGTATCTATCTGTTGCTGTATTCTCTCTGTGTATGTACATGTAGGTACAGACAGTGCTTTGCCACTAGTGTATGTAGGTAGGTCGAGCACTCTATCTACTCTGTGCTCCTCCTCCAGCTCCTCCAGCTCCTCCAGCGTCTCGCTCTCACTCTCTTACTCCCTCCCTCCTGTATGCGCACTTTCTGTATGTGCCTGCTGTGCCTGGGGTACATACATCCCTATCCACCTACTCCACCCTCTCCCTCCTCCACCCCCCCGCTTCACCCACCCCCCCCCCCCAGCTCAGATGCGGCGTCCACAGCCAACCCCATCACTCTAAACGACGCCCACCACCAGCAGCAACCAACACTCCAACCAACACCCGGCCATTGCTGTCTGTCCCTCTCCACCCCGTCTGTCTCTGTCTCTCACTTTCTTTCCCTGTCTCTCCATCCACCCAAACACCCAGCCTTCTTCTTCTCCACCCCCCCCCCCCCCCCAAAAAAAATCCCAACCCTCGGGAACAAACAAACACCCCCCCCTGGAGCCCTCCAACCGCACATCATGAAACGGGCGCGCCCACTCTCTTACTCTCCCTCCCTCCCTCTCCCTCACTCACTTACCCACCTCACCTCACCTCGCCCACCCACCCACCCACCCACGCCCATTATTAGAACACTCACTCACAACCCAGCCCACTCACCCACCACCCACCCACTCACCCACCCACTCCACGGCGCCACCGCCGCGCGCGCCCCGGCGGGTTCCTTCTTCCACCCTTCCCTTCCCTCCCCTTCTTTCCATCCTTCCACTCATGCGCCAACCCAACCCAACCCAACCCATCCCAATCCCAACCCATCCATCCACCCCACCCATCCACCCAACCAGGCACGGTAACTATTACCGCGGCGACACATGACGTGCCCTACCCTTTCCCCATCCATCCATCCATCCATCCACCCATCCCCCCCTTCACCCACTCGGCGAGTGCCAAGCCCGCTAGCCGAGCGAATCCCGGCGGCCCCGGCTGGAGGCCCCGCGGGAGATCGACACGTTGCTGCTACCTACCACCACGAGGGGTTGGGGGGGTTTCTGGAGCGCTCTTTGCTGCAGGTGAGGTGCGAAGTGGAAGGGGGGGAAGCGGTGATTGGTGCATGGGTTTGGGAATTGGCCCGCCGGCGCTGCGTGCGTGCTTGGTCGGGGTGCAGGTGGGAGGTGTGCGCGTACTGCTGGGACGCGGAACGGCGTTTGGGGGTGTGGTGAGTGAGGGCGGATGCGATAACTATACCCGGCGTTGCATAGATCGGTCATCGAGCTCCAGGTGAGAAGTAGATTGATATCCGGTCCCATCACGGCCGTTCGTTCGATGGTGGGATCGGCCATCGTGTTCGAGGTGATCTAAAGTACTTTCTTTACCCCATCCCATATTGTCCCACCCCGGCGGCCCCTCCACTGTGGATCTGGGTTTTAGCTATGTACTGTCCCCGGTCTCAGCTCATGCAGGCATCGTATCGGCCGGGTTTCGCTGGCCATGGTCTCGTGATGTGTTGCGGACGCCGGATCGACCGCACTACTAATAATATCGTAGCACAGGACTGTTGATTGATATCGATATAACCGCCTGGGTAGGGATCGGAAATATAGCTAGCTAGCGGCCCCTGGCGTTTATGTCTTTCCCTCCTCCTCACACTTACTAACTATCTGGCGGCCCCAGCCCCCCCCCCCCCTTCCTCCTGCTAGCTCCAACTGTCGTGGAATGGAATGTCTGCTGAGCGCTCGTGTATGTGTGTCTCGCGGTTAGCATGCGGACCGCACTGGTGATCATGATTTATCCTGGCTATGCCCTGTTTGGATACTACAGACGGCGAGATTCGCACAGCAAAGTAGCCGCTGGACTATCGGCGGCCCGGCCCGGTAAGTTAAGAAATACTTGCGAGATTTGCAGTTGAAAAACACTTGTGATATTGTCGGTTGGACCGTCTTGCGTTTATATACATAGAAGGTTTGCATGAGGTCTCAAATCAAACGGGACGAGGTAGTAGGTACTGGGTAACGCGGAGAGTAATTTACTCTGTAAAAGATGGTAGGGTCTGGATGTGTCTATCTATCTAGAACACCATATCAAACCCGCGTAACAAGAGTATCAATTGGTAAAGCTCATACTACACCACCACCGGCACCTCCTCCCAATCCCCTCCCAATCTCACTCCATATCTCATATCCGCACACCCCAAGCCCACCCCTACCTCCTCTCTCATCATCCACCAGCCACGCCCCACCACCCATCAACAAACACCCCAAACCGCACCGCACCCAAACCGAGTGACACCCCATGATGCAGCCCCCCCCCCAAATCCCACAGCGGCAGAGCCATACAGCGCCCACCACGATGGCTGGCTTGAGGGCGGCGCGCCAGACACCGCCCATCCTCGAAACCGAGCATATAGCTCTAGGAGAAGAAGAAGCGGTTCGAAGTGCTGTGCGGGATCTGCGGCGTGGCGGCGGCTTAATTCTCGACAGACAGATCCCGTCTATAACCTGGGCCGAGGATGCGTTGACGGGTTGTTTTCGAGGCTTTTTTTTTTTTTTTTTTTTTTGTTCTCGTGGGAGTGGGAGCGGTGTGGGAGTGAGCGGCGTGCGTGAGTACGGGAGTATAGGAGGTGTTGTGTGGTGTTGTGTGTGGTCAGGTATAAAGCACGTCCTCACACTGCCGCTCTCCAAGAGCAGCAGCAGCAGCTCAGGGAACCCAGCGCAGCAACAGAACAGAGACCCCTCCCGGCATAGAGATTAGATCCACCCTTCCTGCCGTGAGATTAGATCTTCCCGCATCCCGCCCCGCGCTGGGGCTATCATACACTTCCCGGGGGCTATCGACAAGCCACGGTAGTGTAGTCGGTTAGCATACCTCCCAAAAGTCAGCCCGTAGGTGACACTGTTGTGAGGGGGGAGACTGGGGTTCGAATCCCCATCGAGGCGTTATTCATTTTTTTTTTTTTTTTTTGGCGGGGGCTCTTGGTGGTGGGGTGGGATGGGTCTAGTGTTAACTATGTCGTGTCTACTCCACTAATTGACGTCTTTGGCTGTTACTCGAGATGATTTATAAGGTGTTTATCGGGAGCTCTTGGAGGAGGTAGAGGTTTCCAAGTACTTGCTGTCGAAAACGAGTGCTCCGATATATCTTTCAAGTGTAGAGTTTCTATTATTGTCGACCCAGAAGCTCACTGGTCGCAATTGATTCAGCTGATCAGTCAGTTGAGAGGTTTTTGATATAACACTCTCCTCGTGATTTATGTACTTCTCATGGCCCATGGACACTCACGACCAGCGAGTATCCGTCCATGAATGTTGGTGTGGGTTAGGGTTAGTAGCTCTTACGATCACTCGGTTTTACTAGCAAATGTTACTATTAATAGCACGCGGTCTCAAGACAATAAGACCAACATACCCACCACGCAACAGCCACCCGCTGTCACAACCCATTCCACAACGTCAACGTTTAATTCCTCTTTTCTTGTTTTTATCCCTTGCTTTTTTTTTTCCAAGTAGCAATACTTCTTGTTTGCCCCATCACCATGGATGAATATATTGTTACTTGACAGGGATCGATCCTGGCCGCGATTGTGGGATCATCAACAGATTTACGTCACAGCTTCATGATCAACGCGAAACAAAACCAGTTTCTGGCGGGATGGAGAGTTGTGTTAAAAAGAGCGAGCTGTGCCGCGGCCGGTACTGGTCTTTCTTCTAGATAGATACAGGTGTCGCCGTTTCGCAAAACTCACTAGCACTTCGAATTTCGAGCATCACGATAGTAATATCACCACCGCCATAGCAACCACCTCTCTATAGTATAGCTCTACCATCCAACACCATGGGGATGACCAAAACCAGCACCTTCACGCCCACGCAGCACGTCTCGCTCGTGACGCTGCTCTGCCCCGACTACGCGCCCGCCCTCTCCTTCTACGCCGGCCTGCTCAACTTCACGGTCCAGGAGGACAGCGAGCACGACGACGACCCCTCGAAGCGCTTCATCGTCGTCACGCCGCCCAAGCTGTGCCAGCTGGCGCCGCAGATGGGCCTGCTCATCAAGAAGGCGAGCACCAGGAGCGAGCGCAAGGCCGTGGGGAACCAGGCGGGCGACGGCGTGTTTATGTTCCTGGAGGTGGACAACTTTGATGAGGCGTATGGGAAGATGAAGGGCATGGGCATCGACTTTGAGGGCGATGAGCCACGGCAGGAGAAGTTTGGAAGGGCCATAGTGTTTAGTGATCCGTTTGGGAATAGGATCAATTTGGTGGATAGGCCGTGTACGAGGATTGGGAGTCTGTATGCGCAGGATTGGGGGGTGTTGTCATGAGCTGACGGTGGTATTGCGGTTTGGAGGTAGGTTCGTGATCAATGCGATGTCTTTGCGTGAATTGTAGCTGATTGTGATCGATAGGATTGCGGTAGGATTGGGGTTTTAGATCATTCGTAATTGGGGGGGATTTCTAGAGTTGGGATTGCCAATTGACAATGATGGTAATGGTCTTTTGCAAGTACTGGGGATGATATCTTACTCTGTACCTTACTTTATTGTATTACATTTGAATGTCATAAATCTTTTATTACTAAATACTTGCGAAAACAGCCCAATGATAAAATGAATCAATGATCATTAGAAAACTCAGAAGAAAAAACTACACAAAAAAAAAAAAAAAAGTCCTAACCCACCAAACAACGCCGCAACCATAGCTTCGAAGTTCCCTTTTGAAAAAAATTCAAGACGAAGGCTGTGCCAAGGATAAAATTGGCCGCTCGTAGGGTGATGGCGGATAACATGTTGCCAAGTTTCGATAGGCTCGGCGTAGATAAGATCGAGTGATGAATGGCGAGTGCTAAGTGTATTACCTTGTATATTCCACTCAGTTAGTACTGTTATGGAGTGTATTAGCATCCTGGAGAGGTGTTAATAGTGGATCGTTAGGGTCCTTTTTATATGATCATAGGAGGTTACTGAGCACTATGAGGGGATATTATTGCAACTCCAATTCCATTTTAATGCTGATAAACTTGCGCGAGGATGGGCATCTCTTAAACCATTGAGCTGTTGGAGATGAGAACAAATGATCCGGATCCAGGCTCCATATTTGTGAGAAACATGCATCACAATCATTTACTCAAATCATTTCCACACCGATAAGATCCTACAGTCTCGGAAATGGGGTAAAATTGCTACCGTGGGGCTACGGTATTGAGTCAAGAATACTGGTTTAAACCAGCATCGTAAGTAGAATACCATATCGATACCGTATCAATACCGTATTCTTACAGCATCACTAGCGTATTGGCTAGAATACGGTAGTGAATTTCTACCCCTTTCCGGTACTGTATCTTATCATGGCTACCTTACACGCAGACGTGTATATACACGCGGCATTGCGTACGCGCGCCTAACCCGACTCACAGCTCCTCACTCGGTATCATCTTGGAATACACAAGATCGACACCCACCACCGCCTTCCTCTTTCCCAAGGCACCAGAGTGGACAATTCCAAGTCCTGAACAATTGCATAAGGTCACGGTCACAAAGCAACCTCTGAACAATGACCGAGAGAAATCACGGCCGGGACCAAGGAACTACCCTCCTCTAGGTCAATGATAGTGACCACTCCCTTCAGGACCCAATGCAACTAAGAGTCAAAAAAACAAGTTCTAGGCTGTCCTTTCTACTACCAAGAAACATTGGTCTTGTGTTTCATGCGTTCGGCAACCGTGGCATCATGAGTTCTCGTTGAACATTCCAGTTGTTCACCGGCCGGAGGAACCCAAAAATACAGAACATAGAAACGTGACAACTTAACGTCCCGCAAGGCGTCTTTTCTTCAAAGGCCGAGGCTGCTGGTGAAAATTCGGCACATTGAAGAAACATCTAGATAATTATTTCTAATGGGAGCTCATGACCCATAATCGTTAATGCCTCGGTTTCCCCGGAAATCTGTGGAAAGAATCTGGGAACAAAAGTGATGTTGTCTTTCCGAACTTTTTCGTGACTCACGTAAATATGTTGATCAAAACGCCGAGAGAAACCTAATAGCCTTGTTGCAGAATATCTACGGGAGCGTGACTACTAGTAACAAGGCAGATGGATCTGCAAAACTCCTGCTGCAGGTAGACCCCTGCGCATGAACGAAATCTCTGGGGAAAAACATTCCAATGACCCAAAAATAATTATCCCTAACCTTTTAGAAACATTTAGAAAAAATACACAGGAAAAACACATCAGGAAAAAGACATTGTACTCTAGCTCCCTCCGAGTCAGTTTCCGTGACTCACTCAGTGACACCGGGGTACTTAGCATGAAGTTGCAATAAGGTAAACGTGGCAGTACAATAGGAACCGCGGCTTCGCTCCCTGTCCCCTGGGGATTTGCATACCAGGTAACTTTTACCCCCACTTCCCCCTCGATCGATCCCCCCTCCCCCACAAGGCAAATAACAGGAGCGAAAAAAAACGTCCGCTTAACAAGCGGCGCCAAGTGTCCTACCGGCCCTGATCCCTAACCCATCTTGGCATTGTTACTCCGGCTTGTGGCCCGCATGGGGAAGAAGCGGACATATGTACTACTTGCAAGGCACAACATCTGCAGAGAAAATCAGTCAACTCTACATTCCATCTCATTCCTACTGAAGTAGAGACTAATGGACTATTGATAGTTGACGTTGCATTAGCCCGCTTCGGGAACATAGACAAATTTATGTTTCAAGTACTAGTTGGCCATACGGAGCAACCAGAAATAAAATAGCAGTCTTCCTCGGGAGGAATTTTACGAGTAGTGAGTGTGGCTCACGGTATCCCTAAATAGCTCTCAATCAGGGCATATATTCCCCCAAACCTCATAATAGTTACATAAGATATGTGCCTGACGTAGGGATTCTCACCAAGTCATCCTTCGCACAGCCCAGGCCTAACGAGTGATATTCCATGTTTCTCCCCACCCAGAACCTCACCTCACGTGGGATTTGTCTGGAGCCTCCATTCCACGTGTGAAACATGCATCGCCCAGACCTCTCGTAATTGGGTCGGAGCCTCATCACCACAGCTCGTCAATTCAAGCGGTCCTTAAACATGGCACAAATGCCAAGCATTGCGTGCGGCTCCTTTCCTGATCCCCCCCCCTAGCTGCTTAGCGACCGGCCGAAACCCAGGACTGGTTGCAAAAATAGATTCACTAGAGATCGATATTAACCAGAACCCTAAACCACGCACGGGTGATTTTTATTTGTTTCGCGGGCCCTCGGATCATTGGTAGGGGAATTTACTTAGTAACCTAACGGTTTTTCATTTTAGATGTCTGAGCGCTCATACAAAAAAGTACATGAGATCACTGCGTGCGCAATAGTACTTATGCGCACATAAAATATCAAGAGACTGAAATCAAAATAAAATGAAACCTGCTTTGCTTGGGAAAAACATAATATTAAAAAAATGAAATACCCCCCCCCCCCCCTCTTTTGCGATTTTGGCATTATGCCCGAAGCCACGGTTGATATCCCCCGCACTTTCCATGCGTAAATATATGTAGAGCTAGCTAGAGCGTATGTACGTATCTGCCGGTGCGGACGGTACCTGCAGCGGTTGCCTTAAGGCTACCATTAATTAAGCTGCTTGCTGCTTGCTGTTGCTGCTAGAGGAAGATCATTGACGTGTGTGTACAAATTTAATCGAACCCATTGTACCACAACACATTAAGTGGCGAATTCCTCAAAAATCACAACCTCGGGGGATTTGACGAATGACAAGCTTTCGGGCCCACCACCACCACCACCACCCCTAGTTCGCACAAAGGTGTTTGGAACGTTGCCCTGCTCGCGGAGCATGAGTATCCCAATGTTTCTTTCTTTGTACTTTTCAATACGACGTATTCGAAATATCCCGTCAAGCCTTTAGGAATGTGATGGCCATGGCCGGATGGGACCCCCGGGGGGCATTGGTAAGTATAGACATAACTGAAACCTGCACTTGATGGAATATTAATTATTTATGTGATGGCATTGATTAGGATTTGTTCCCTTTTGATCACGGGATATAGATGTGCCAGCTAGGGGCACATATTAATAGATCCCATGGGCAGTTGTGAAAGTAATTAATTGATAATGAGTGAGAATAGAGAGCTCGAGAGAGATACGGGCGGCATAACTCGGAGGGGCCCGGCTCCCCGCCCAGGAGCACATTTTAGGCCTTCTATGGAGCGCAGCATATTAGAGAGTGTCATAGCATAGCATAGGAGATGTAAATAAAACCTAGTCACAAAAATAGAATTGTACTACATGAACATACAAGGTCAAGTAAACATTTTTGTTCCCGGGAAACATATCTCTGGTACATACCCTAGGTGAATTTCCGCTCAGCTGGGTCCGATCAAGCCCCATTGTGAATTATCCCTCCGCCCCCTCTTCTTCCCCCACCCCACCCTCTTCTATTCCCGAGTAAATAGGTACATCACTTACAAAAACTTGGGTCGCCAGATTTCGTTTCGTTTCGGCGATCGATACTGACTGAATAACCTAGTAAGCACCCTGTCGATCAAACTATATATGCTAGCGAGCCCAGGGCCAAGGTATCAATGTCACAGGGAACTTGATCGCTCTCGTCTTATGATCACAGTCACGTCAGTAGATAAGGAACCTTTTCAGCAGAAGATCCAATTAAACTGACGAACCAATGGAAATTCTCAATCTCTATGCTGCGCTTGTATTACCGACCCCCAGCGATGCAGAGGATCAGTCGTTACTTACGCAAATCAACCTGTATTATCAATAGGCAGATTCTTGTCTATTGTAGTCATAGAATAGCATACCGGAACTGCAGGTCACGGTATAGTATAGTTATTATCTATCCACTTGATACCGACAAAGTATAGAAAAAAAAACGCCTAGTATAATCGGATTCTCCCTCCCGGCCCGTATAATACCTAGAGAATGCGGGGAATAGGGCTTACGGGATTGTAATAATCGAGATATACTCATATCATACATCACGATTCAGCCGCAGGAGAGGAGAAATAAACAGGGTCGTTTCATGTATAGTACTGTAGTACAGTGCAGAAGATTGTTGAGTGTATTTCGGCCATATCGTATCATGCAGAGTGAGGAATCCGACTAGCTAGCTAAGGACGGGAATCTAACCCTCAACAGTAGAGAGATCTTGCCCCGATCCGTCAGGGCCGAGAAGCTGTCACCGTCATATCGTTGAATTCCTGCACTTGTGTCAACTACTAAGTGCGGCTTTTCCTACGCACAGGCGCAGTCAGTCACAGATCTTCCCGCCAGGGAGGAAAGCAAGATCTTAGTAGTAGATCCTCGCCACTTTAGACTTGTCGAATCCAAGCCTCGGGAATCGGGGGAGGAAAGACATGTGCGATTATAGTCATCAGATGGGTTCCTTTTCTTATGCTACGGCTTCCAAGGTATTGGATTGGGGGCCATATCGTCGGTCCTGCAGCACTGCTTTTGCTTACAGGAATTGAGTTTACCGGCGAGCTAGCCCTTGCGAGCTGAAGCCATCCCATCATCACTGCAGCGGCGCTTGAGAAGCCCACTCGGTTTGTCTCCGTGGTTCACTGTTGTGAGTTTTCTCACCAAGAAAGAAAAACAGGTTTTTTAGCATCTCGCCAAATTTCAGCTTTGCGTCTAAGCATTGGAGTATCTAAGCAAGAATCGCGGAAAAACCATTAATCCGGGCTCACTGCGGTTGAAGATGACTGTTGGGAACGATTTAGGGCCAGTAGTAATGTTGAAGTGAGCTTAGTGCTGACCATAGCAACGGAACAACTATCGCTGCAGCCAACCACAGGTTTTTCCGGTACTGTTGCAGGGGCATCACGTGTTTTGTGGCGCATGCTGCTGCTCTGCTTGTGGCATATTGGAGATTATGTGGACTGGACTGCATGCTGACAGTCTGAGTCTGACCAATATTGAAGGCCCTAGAGTTCGCAGTTGAGAGCACTAGTATGTAGCTGCGGTCCTCCTTCCTGGATGAGGTTCCCGGAATGAACGCAATGAGCACTTGGGGAGAGGTGATGTATGTATCGGAATCTCTTTAACTGGTCAACCACAAGGGGTAAACCGGGCACAAGGCAGACACTGCCCACGGATGAGCATACGAGAAGCACATACATTGATACGACTTTATCATCAAAGTGTAGTGAGATTGAAGAGAAGCAGCAGCTTTATTATGGTTTCCATCCCGGTATATTGGCTTTGTACATCGCCCTGTCGTGATATCATGATCACGATGTGTGATTATGAAGATGTAGAGATAATAACAATTGAAATACCATGATCATGAATCAGCCAGTGGTCGGTTCGGCGCATAAGGAGAATAAAAAAAAAAAAAAAAAAAAAAAAAAACTGGATCTTTACGCGCAAAGCTGAGGCTTACCCAACACCGTCACCATCAACCATCATCCCCCCTTAGTCGCTCGGTCGCTTGTCGGCATTCAAATCTCCACATTTCCACACTTTCACGTTAGCGAAAGGAACGATGGTCTGGATCATGACAGGCGAGCATCGTGTCAGGGTTAGGTGATGATCGATCACGGCAATATATTGGCATGGAACCTAGCGTGGCCAAGGGAACGCGGCGGCCACGAGGGGTTTCCCCTGACTTCGCGGGGGTTACAGAAGATGAAACACGATGTAGCAGATCTATCATCTCGTGGTGCATACTAGGCACCAGTGTGGTACGTTATGTATGCATATTTGATAGCTTTTGGTTAAATTATTGAGAGATGCCGATCAGCTTGGCCCATATTGTTGGCAGGGAATGTGCATAGGTGTAGCTGTCGTGACTCAAATGACTTCTGGGTTGATCAAGGCCGTGACATATCAATGCAGACGACTCATTAGAAAAAAAGGAATACATAATTGACCGGGCGAAAGGGGAGATACGAAGTCGTAATTTTATGTGTAGGTTTGTAATTGATCATAGGATCGTATTAACGTTCGATCATGCATGAATGTGTATTGTGTGCCTAGTTCATGTATACGTATTCTGAATTACTCTGCAATTGGCCTTGAAACCATTCAAACACCATTGATGGAAATAAACATATTTCTCCTGACTCAAAGCTCGACCAAAAGCTCTTCATCTCCTCCTTCTTGCCTTACAATCCTGCCATCGCCGAACGTCGACAGGCAGCAACAACAAAAATAACAATAATAACTAGTCACGGTAGATACATACGTTGATTGCATGAAAAAGATCACTGGTTAGGCAGTGGCTCATCGGAGACGAACATTCCTCAACAATTATATGAGCATGTTTGAGATTCACTGTTTGAAATATTTTTGTAAATAGTGATCGTCGGAGGTGGTGAGGGATTGACGTCGTGTACCTGCATTTGCGATAGCCGTGTTGTCCAGTGCACTATCTGCAGCCCTACCGTGATGCAGGTCCGCGAGATGTGTGTTGAGGGTCAACTGCACTCGAGATATCGTGTCCTAGACTTTCTTGCACCCTGAATTACGAGAGTACTCGAGTATACGAGTTGGGCAAAGAGCTGGGGTTGAATTCTTCAATCTGACCGTTAGTGTACATGTGTGATTATACTTAGCTTAGAAATATCTTTCTCCTTATTTTAATTCTCATTGTCGCGAATAGCTTCAGCAAGCTCAGTACCTAGCTGAACAATACGCCGCGGACGATTGACTCAATTGAATTCCATCTTCAAGGGAAAGAAACAAAAACAAGACATATCGATACTTCGCGCCCTCGGTTAGCATCATGTAGTTTAGCTTCCTTTTCTCTTAGTCTTGGTTTTTTGGGGCAAGTTGGAGTGAGCACTACTCATGTCTGTGTAAGCCCCAGGAATCTAAGAATTCATGGCAGGAGAAATTAAGCCACGATTGATGTCCAAGGAAAGAGAGAAGAGAAAGTATCGGGGCCAGTAGTGGGGCATGAATAGACGCGCGATGGACGGCATATGGAAAAAAGCTATGTAAGTGCATTTGCCGTAGATGCATATTGCGAATAATCTGGTTTGATTTCTTTTTTACTGCGGTTCTTCATGCTCTTACATACGCTGGTGATGCTCTAGTAGTGGTGAGCGAACCACCGGTAACGTAGCGCGCCCCGAAGGTCATCTATTAACAAGCGGGCCTGTAACAGACGCCCTCTACCTCATCTGACATGTTTCCTCAGCGGGGATTTGATTACTTTGCGATAGAAGAAATGTTTAGTGGGTGATGGATGGGAGGGTTGGAGGAGTGGGAGGGGGGCTTGAAAGAGGGAAGAGTTAACGGTCGGGACAAGATGATCTGCCCTCTGCCACCACCACCCCGGAATTCGGAACCACTGCGACGGAGTACTGGGGAGAAACATATGCCATTACAGACAATCGTGTTTCTCGACAAAAGGCCTAGGTTTATTTTCACCCATCTTTGTTATTTTCGGTATCTTTTAGCTAGCAACCAGCCCACAAAAGGTGATTTACCGGCAATAATTCATGCTGCGGACGATAACCGTGGCCTTATTAGGTGCCTTTTGTCCAATAGGACTACTGCGCAGGGGACCGCAAAAGACCCCATTACGGTGATAAAATAATATTAGTGGACCCCAGTTAGCTGGGATGGCTTCAGCCTCACGATGGCTCGCTCGCGAGATCAGATCTGTGGCTATGGGGGTTGATTGGCTGGTTAAAAAAGGTATCTCCCGGGAACAAGAAGGCAGCCTTGTAGTGACCGCGATTCGCCTCACCTAAAAATTACACCCCTAACCCGGGACCTCTAGTTTTCACCTAAGCTACATGTATCTACATCCAAACCAATACCATCTACATCTTGAGCTGAGGATAATCACCCTGACCCTACGAGACATTGTATGTCTATTATCGACATAGACACATGGCTGTAGTAGGCTTAACCGAGTTTTTTTTTTTTTTTTTCCCTTTACCCACCCACCTCTAGCTCTCCCCCCCCTCCCCGCCCATCGCACCCTTTCGATGTACCCCTGGATAGTACCTGCATCCACATGAATTTCCTGGTTCACGGTTTATTTCTTGGGCTGAGGTTGTTGTAACACTGCAACCAGCTGAACATCCGCAGCCTCACGTCTCTCTCTAGCAAGTAGCTTGTGAGTGAGCAAGACCTCATGCATTCCAGATATGCATGCAGCATACCTGACCTTTCTCTGTCTTCCGATATTTCTTGATTTTGACACCTTAGGGCGAAGACGAAATCCAGTGCGCTATTCTATTAATGAACGCACTGATGATCGTTTTTCTAATTTCATGACGTTGTGGAGTTTTGTTTTTGCTATTCGCATTTTGGGCATTTCCATTGTCGTGATGATGCTATTGACATTTGTGTCCAGTATTAGGAGTAACTATTGGATATCAGGCATATCGGCGGGGGTGGTGGTTATCACAGGCAGGATAGTATTAGGGACATGTACGCAGGTTGGAGGTTGTGAGCGACGGTAGTCAGATCAAGTCTGGACCCTGCCGTTTCTATGGGACGGGAACATTAAGGGTCCACCCCAGCCTAACGGTAACACAGGAGCTATCAACAGCAGCCCAACGGTCTCTCACTCTCACTTACTGCACTATCTTACTCCTGCTCTCTATACTGCATCTCCCCCTCTAGTCTGACCCCACTACCACTACCACTTACCTGGAAACCCCGCCATCACCGCACTCCCTCCATCACTCCCTGGGAACTTACCGATGACTATGTCTTGGAGTCACCCACTGGTGGTGATATTCTTCTTAGGTAGGCTGTGTGCTAGCTGCGGGAGTCGAAACAGTCAGTGCACCAAGCAATTACTTGATCCTCCCTGTTACGCAAGTATGTCTAGCTTTACTCTTCAACGGTGCATTTATATAACTATCAGATTCCCCCTCCTTCCGGATCATTCATTCAGTTCGATCATTCAGTTCATACATTCAGTTCATACATTCGGATCTACTTACCTACAGCCCTAGAGTTACAACAATCTCAACAGTACTCTCCTAATATATCAATTCAGGTTCACCACTTCATATTATATCATCACACTCAATCCCCAGCGTTTTCTATATCTTCGACTGAATTCCTGATATCTATCAATTTCACACCACAACAACCACAACACTCACCTCAATCCGCCAGATCAGGCAACTAGCAACTTTTTCCCACAACAAAACCCCTACAACACTTCAAGATGTGCATGCGAGTTGTTGAGCGTTACGCCGTCTGCAAGTGCGTCTACTTCACCCACGGTGTCGACCAATGTGGAGCCTATGGACGCCGCGGACACATGGTACAAGACAGGGTGGTCCTCGTGGGACACACCTGTCCCGCTCACTCCAACATGGGATTTGCTTCATACGGCGGTTCGTATAGCAGCCAGCACTCAAATCGGAGTTCTTGCAGTGGAGCTTCCTCCTCATCATCACGGAGTAGCGGTTCAAGACCCGAGGTCGGGTTTCCCTACAGCTCCGGCGATGCCCACATCTTCCGCCGGTGAACGGGCCAATTCCCAGCAACAGCAGCAGCAGCAGCAGCAGCAGAGCAGAGAGGCTCCTGCGGAGCCAGCGATTGAAGCACTGCAGCAGCGGCAAGAGGCGGCGCGCGTGGGGAGGAAGCAGGAAGATGAGGGGAGGACTAGGAGGGGGCTTCTGTTGACGGAAGGGAATATCTCATTTTACTGGAGAAACTACACATAAAAAACGGGGAAACGGAAAACAACAAAAGGGGGGGGGGGGGGGAAGGCGCTATTCTATTTATTATTTTTTATTATTATTCTTTTTTTTTACGACGACACTTGAGCTTTATGAACGACGGGGGGCAGCACTACAACGTACGGATACTATTCCGTTGTAGTGCTGGCCAATGGCACCGGCCAGCAATTGGGTTCTCGGATTCCTATTCTTTTTTTTCACTGTCTCATCTTTCTACCACCATCTTTCGACCCCGGGATAGCTTCGTGTACGGCGCCGTATGCTGAGGATTAACCTGTGGAGTCGGCTATTGATCAACGTGGAAAATGAGAGAGCAAAGAAAAGAACCCGGGGCTCCCGAGTTGTCTTGAGCCCTTGTACTAGCTACTAATGGTACGAGATATGACATTTATGTACTTTTACTACACTTTTTCCATCATTTTTGTTCTGTTTTTTTATTGTCTTTTTTTATCTACATTGCAAGCGGGATCCCGGGAGTCTGGTTTTTGTTTTTTTCTTCACAGCGGTGTTTCGTTTGCTTTTTATTTTGTTTTATTGCATTGCAGCAGGGAGGGTACGAGTATGTTGGCAGATCTAGGACGGGGGGGGGGGATGGGAGAGGAGGCTGTACTACTATTTAAAGGGCGCCGGTTTAGGCCGCTAATATTCAATTAAATTCATGATATTGAAATCACTCTTCTTTCTCAAAAGTACCTCCTTGACATCATGATGACATTCCTCATTCCTCTGCTTGATCTTCTCCTTGTGTAACCCTGAGGCTACTAGTCACCTCACAACCCTAAACCTTAAAAAGAGAGCAAGACGTCTTACGCATAAGTTATGCTTCTTTTTTCGGCGCGGGCTATGCTGGCGCTCGCGCTCCGACGGTCCAACATATTCTCCTCCCTCTCTTTCATAATCGTCCCCTTTGCTTAATTTACATACATGCCCGACTATGACTGACTGCTAGCTAGCTAGCTCTTTTTTGAGTAAACAGTCATCACGACCACCTGCCTGGCTAGCTATGTCGTTGACTGTCCTCGTGCTCAGGAGGGTTTATGCAACTGCTTCGGCCCCCGGACAAGACATGTGCCAATGGCATGTTGAACACTGGCAACTCCAGTCCAATCAACTCCAATCCGAGCTATACGTATACCAAAACGCAGCACAGACCAGGAGTTTCGGGGACACATGATGAGGCTCTATAATAACCATTACGAGGGTTAGGGTACGTAGTACAATACTGAAACGTACGACAGATCTAAGGCATATCGAAAGCTTATGCCCCTCCCTCCCCTCTGCTACCCTCCGCCAAGAACTTTTTTTGTGGCTTGAATGTTCCGCTGTGGTAGATCCGAGTAAGGAATAGTTGGAGGGCATGGACGGGATGTTTCGGAGGATTTGTGTGGGGAGGGGCGGGGGGCATTGAACCGGTGTTCTTGGGCTGTAAATTTATAACGGCTCCTTTTTTCCCCATCATCCATCCTGCAGTGCCCGGATGTGGTGGCTAGTGGGGGAATGGCGAACCGGTTGTAGGTACACCGTGCCGATTCTTATGTTGAGATCTAGCTATAGCTATAGAGCTAGGATTGGTATGGTTATAATATCTGCAAGCTAACTAGCACATGCAACTAGATCATTGGCTAGCTACTAAGCCAGGCAATAAACAACTATTTACTGAATAAGATAAATACACATGGCTAGGCGAGTTACTTGACATGAGCCACACTCGATCACAGTGTGTCGGAGCAGCAGAAGCAGCTAGCAGTTGGATTCTTGGATTCCGGTACGGTACGATGAGGAAAGAAGAGCCAGCCCACTGTGCTTCTACACACGCAGGACGTTCCGGGTTATCTGATCAACCTGACCAGGTTACCGGAATTAATCAACGTCAGTCCTAGGACATCCGTCAATTCAGAACCACAATAGATCGATGTCGACTAGCTTGCCCAATCTCACTCTTTAGTAGAGAGAAAAGAAGGCGCATGCCCTGCGGATGTATTTATCTACCATAGTGAGAGGTTTTATGGTGGGTATTGTGACCCTGGATCCATGGAGTTGACGTTGGTTGACAGACTGGCTAACCATGGGATGAGATGGGGGACATCGTTTGACGTTCGGTATTTGGCCGGGGTGCGGGCTATTTTTAGAGCTTTTGCCTAACGATCTCGGAGAATTTACAGTCACGTGCAGCGCGGTGTGGGTGCTATGGCTCATGACCGACAGCAGTGCACCGGCCGGGCCATATCTAAGGCCGACGGCCTCTGGCTTGAGATCTTGGTGATCTGGGTGGTTGGTGGTGTAATTATCCCCCAATCGTTAGGCAGAGATCTGTATTGATTGTATTAGTTGTAGATCTCGGGTGCATTTTGTAGCTGTGAAGTGCGGTGATTCATATGAATTGCATATGGCCAGAGTGCTACCTGCTTGAGTCGATCCATATTAATTATATCTCTCTCAACACCAGCTAGCTACATGTAGTACTGATAGGTGCGGCTGAGAGCTAGAGAGCAGAAGTGCCCCTAGATAATATGCGCCGCTTCGCATAAATTGAGTTTCGCTCTTGCTCTGCAGTACCTCTACACCTCTGCACCTTTCCACCTCCTGTTCCTTCGCTTTACATCGCGGGTCTCGGGAATAACATAGCGTACGTCCCCCATCCCAGCACCGATCCCCCTCGACGGCCCGCCGAGTCCTAGTCCCTGAAGCGCCCTATCCAACCACACAACCACCCAGCCCTCTTCCTCTGAGCATAGAAGCGGTGGGGCTTAGCAGTCGACCAGAATTTATATAAATGTACATAACATGCCTCTGGCTAGTCTAGACTACCGTAATAATCGCATCGAGTAGTACATGTCTTATGCTGCATGATATAGCTATTAATAGTAGCACCCCGTGGTTGTGGGTTAGGGTTCATGTCTTGGCAACGCTGTTTTGATAATGTCTCCGGCTCGCGTGGGAGAAGACTAATGCATCTTGCGTGCCTGCCTTGCCTTGCGGTCGATCCTTCAGGCGGGAGTGTGTTTCAGGTGGTGCTGGTGGTGTTTTGTAACTACATTATAATGTACTTAGTAGATGTGATTATATTATTTATGCCTGGGTGAGTCACGGCGAATAAATGAGGCTTTCTAATCAGAAGGTCAGTGTGACTCGACTCGTAGGGATGTGCTATTAGCTTATAATAGGTGGAACAGCTAGCTATTCGGGTTTTCTGGTATGGAGTGATGGGTCATACTTACTGAATTACTCTCTTGCGTCGTGATTATCATGCGCTGGATGCGCCATATGTGCGAAAGAGAGTATTTCCGTTGTTCTATCTGAGCTGATATATAATGTGAAGTAGGTATTGACGGCTCGATCCTATGAATTAAGGGCGGAGCAGTCGATGGCTTTATAGACCAGTTGTGTGCGAACATTCCGGATCCTGCAAGCGTTTTTTTCTTTTGTGAGTAATTTTATTGTGAGTAACTCTATCAATTACGAGTACATAGATAGTCCAATTTGAGCAACCGGAATTACATAGTTGTGTCAATACTGGGGGAGCGTGTAGGGGGTTCTACGTACGCTACCGTTGCGAGTGAGATCCAGAGTTAGATTGAATTCAGTATTTAGATGTTTGCAAAATTGTCACAGCGAAACCCTAACCAACAGCTATAACAAGACCGAGATATTGGAGGAAGGGAAAGATGATAGTATATTGACAGGACTACTAGAGTACTTTCTAGCTTGATACGACATGATTAAGGACATGTTGTCACGCCATGTATTCCTTGCCATAAGTCTACAGTTGTAGTATACGTAACTGATAGTGACGTATGTCGTACGACAGTACTGCTTCAATTGCGAGTTGTGCTGGTACATGTAATTTGTTATTGGGCTTGATCAATCTGGTTTATCCCTGTGTGGTAGCCACTAGCATGGAAATTGGTTGTGGGCTGGCGCTTCAGTTTTGAATTCGGAGTAGCGTGTGGTCTCTACCAGAGCTACATGTAGAGTCGCAGCGCGTTTATCGCGCTTAAATGTATCAAGATCCGCACCTGGCCACGGAGAAGAAAGAACAACTCATGCGCGGCTAGAGGATACGTACTCTCTTTCTTTATTACCCCAAACTTGGCTCTAGATTTGAACACATGAAATACATTATACTTCTCATATCTAACGAAGAAAATTATCTTCATCTCTAGTAATCGTACGATGTGCTGTGAATTAAGATTGTAAGATCATGTATGAAATTAATGGCACACAAAGGAAAGCGCAACAAACGGTAGATACACTCATGGTCACGATAAATCACTGTTTGCGCTCCTCACAATACTTTCTCTCCTCCTTCTCGAGACTCAGGGTCTGTCTTTCAACAATCTCGCGCACATGCTCAACCTCCTTTGTAACGTGGTTCATCTCCGCTAGCTTCTCGATCACCTTGACCTCAAGAGCTAAGACTGCTTTCAATTGATTAGGGAGCCACTAGCTTACTGTTAGTATTGTAGGATTACAGTATGGAGCGATAGGGTAACTTGCCCTAACAATAGGACTGCCTCCCGTTGCAGTCGGGTGATTGGTCTTCTTGAGAATATACTCGCGGGTGAAGCACCAATGACGCCACCTAAAGTCGCGCACTTGATCGATACAAAGAAGGTACAAAGCTAGTATTATTAGCCAAAAAGTGTTTGACCGAAACCATAAAAAAAATACGTACCCGCAGATTGAGGATCGCGTAAAGAGAAATCCTGGATACCGACTGCAGCCGCAGACTCTTTGACCCACTCGAGAAAATCGCGATGGTTTCCGGGACGGTACTTGCGGAAGTCTTTGAGAATTTCCGTCAATGGTGTGTCGGGCATACTGATTTCGAGGAGGTTATCGCATAGCGGAACCTATATTTACAAGTCAGTTTCTAGGATGGTCGTTGTTGGTGGGTGCTAAATACTCACCATGCTGTCATTGGCCCCAGACTCGCCGCGGAAGCTGAGGGGTTTGTCAGAAACGCTTTCGTAAATGACGCCCTTTGGAAACATAGATTGAGACGCGATCCCGAATATAAATCTTTTCTTCATTAGCGTCAACCACCAAAGACTTCTAATGTAGACCTTACGTGCGGAAGCTATTGTAGTCGCCTGGCTTCGATTTTCCCCACATTTCTGGATACGGTTAGAAAAGCTCACAATTGAGAACTTGCATCGGGGCACTTCACCTACTTTCCATCGTGGCATTAATCTTACGTAGTGTAGCTAACACTTGCTTGAGTCCATCTCTGAAGGCTTCGTGATTGCCTTCTCCCTGGCAAGCCCGGATAGCCTTTACAGCACCATCGATGAGCCCACCGCTATGCTGTACCATGTCGACGTGGACAAGAATAAATCCGGCTTCGGAGGATGTACGATCAAGGCCATGCTCAAAGGCGCGTATGATTGCAATGTTATCATAGTTCAGGCCCTCATCTGGGTTTAGGAGACGGTAGTTGAAGAGCGCATAGGATCCAGCATACTCCATGAAAGGTTGAAAACCTATAAAACAATATTAGATCTAATATCAAGCTATAAATAATCGAATTATGATCGAAGAATGAGTACCAGTTCTGTAATAGATTACAAATTAGTAATATTCGTTACCAAGTATGGACACACTGGTGCACTCACAAATCCGCAACTTTGACAATAGGTAAACTGATACATTTCGGAAGTACATCCCGTGCGAGCCCATAATCTCCGTCCTTGAGATACTTGTGATGGCATGGCTCAAGCAAGTATGCACTCGCCAGGAATGAATAGTCTCTGTACAAAGCATTCAGTACTACCTGATTATCTTTATACTTCTCGACAGCGTCGATAAGATTCGGAAACGACTGGTTAACAACATCGCCCAGACGGCCCTGTGCGAGAAGGCCCGGGGTTCCGTCCTTCTTCTTTATAGGAAGCTGTTGAAGGATATCCTCAAGGGCTGCGAATTCCGATGGAAGTTCAATAAGGGGTTCCTATCAAATGAGACGTGAGTACGGATATGTCCTTGAGGACAAGGTCAACAGAAATAGAGATGAATATCAAAAGAAATAGAGATGGAAACTACCTGTCTGGGAAGAAATCCACGAGTTGTGCTGACCATGAACGGAGGAAGAGAGGTGTCATCAGGGAAGGTATCTTCAAGGAGAGACTTGAATTCTTTCACTGGGGCTTGTGTTGGAGCTGGCATGATTGGGGTCGATTTGAAGATTTGAAGATTTGAGTAGAGAATTTATTATAGTGAGAAGGCGACTCTCCGGGCGCACCTCAGGCTTATAAGGTCAAAGAATGAAGCTAGTTAGCTGAGGAATAATTCTATGATATAAATCACACGACATCGTTATAGGGAACTACGGTTAAAACCGGGCCAACATTTTGAAGTCGGGCCAATATTTTCATAGTCGGGCCAACGTAACAGAATCTTTAGTCTCGCTGAGCACGTCACGATTTGTAGGCCCGAGGTTCATCAAAGAGGGTTAGGGGAGACCTTAGCGTTGTAAGGGTCGGCATTCCAGCCAGTCAATTGTAGGATCAATTAATTTCGACGCACAAATAAGGTTAGCCTCGTATCCCTAGAAGCTGTCACGAAGGTCAATCAAGGTTTGCGTGACGGCTACCGTGGCTTTTGAAAACGCACCTGAATGGTGGAGATATAGCCTTTGAGACTAAAAGTAGGTACTCCCTCTACACACCAAATGCCGAAACCAAAGATAAGCAGATGGAACAAAAGGAAGAAATATCCGGGTGAATCAAGGAACCCGAGCGGTGTTACCTCAAACAAGGGCCCCATTGGCGGGCCCTATCAACACCGAGGAGGTGGAGGGACTGAAATACAAGACAAGGGGTTCGTATCTCATTCCTATCCTAGCTTTCGTATCTAAAGTGTTTTGAATCAGTGATAACAGTGTGATCCTCTGCCATAGAACCATACAATAGAACACATCGAACATTAAAGAGAGTCCTTCGAAATAGAACATCATTTACGAAGCCCTGAAGTATTCGGGTTTATTTGACTTTTGTCGTGTTTGGGAGGTTCGTAGCGAAAAGGCTAGAAACGGATTTTCGCGGAAATTTGTCAGCATTCACTACAACTTCACCTCAAAATACACATTTCTAGAGTTTTGAAAAAGTTTTTGATGGTGAGATTGACTGATTCTTAAACGCTGACTGTATTGAAGAACCCCATCTGACGAGAGTTGTAATAAAGAATCGGCGAGCCGGTCATTTTCGCCCTACTCGTGATTAAGCCTTTCTTCGCTGGACGACCAGATTATAGCTGTATCTACGCATCGATCCCCACCCGCAAGTTCCCTTCTCATTTAGTTTAATGACATGACTGAGTTTGAAAAGACATTTACCGAAATAGTTGTATATCGAAAGGGGTAACACAGTGTGCAAGCCATAAAATCTAAGGCGACCCATAATCCAGAGAAGTAAAGAAAGTGTCAATGAAGATAATAGATTATAGGGCGTTTATATACACCACTTTATTATCTTCGTTAGTTTTTGACGCAACTTGCTGGGCTCTCCCAGTCTTATCTAATTCATTGCTCATAGCCATAATACCAAATCTCTTCTCATCTTTCCGGTTTCTCACACAACATCGCGGTTTCATAACCACGATAATAGAGAATGTTCTAATCACATTTTTACCATGCATCAGTTTTCGCTATTTCATACTTTATAGTATATCCTTAGGGATACTCACCCCGGAAAAGGCCTCTCTAATAGCACCTGCAACTAAACCTCTTGGCGACATTGGCCTATGACCGCTGGCCTCCATGATATATCCCAATTCCGGGTCAGCGACTTGTTTACATTTCCACCCTGTTGTAACCCCTCGCCTATTCATTGCTTTGCGTAACCGTCGACATCCATCTTGGTCATCCCATGAGGGTCCCCACGTGATCTTAAAGTCGCTAAAGAGGAGTCTAGAGCGTGTAAGGCAGCTAACTTCAAGTACGGCCATAGGTTTATCTTCTGTGGTTGGAAATGAAGGTCGAGTTCCAGGGTCTTCAGAAGATTTTGCTGTTGTGAAAGGCATTGGATCATGAAGCCGGCTCATGGCATGAGACGCCGGGGGTAATATTAGGGTGATCGAAGAATCCATTTGAGAGGGCGTAGTGGAACTGGAACTAGTAGTGACTGTGACACTCTCCGCCTCTGCCATCTGGTTTCCCCAATATTCTTGGTTTTGAAAATCTGTGATAATATCGAGTTCATGCTTGGAGCCAGGGGGTGTAGTGATGCTGGGAAAGACTGGGCCCTCAGCGGTATTTTTCTGCTCCGGTTGGATCGTTACAGTTGCGCTAGCTGGAATTAACCACTCAAAATCTTCGTAGCTGGTAATCACTTCGAGCGGAGGCCTGGTTGTATTTTGGTATATTGGATCCGATCTAAACCGCCCATCTGGCTGCGGTATTGGAAGAAGTCTCGGTGTAGCCTCCGTTGGCATGAGGTCTTGGGAAACTTCTAAAAGTACTCCCGGCTCTTTTGGTGGGGGACTGAAAGCAGGTGTCGGTTTAGGAGCATATTCAGTGACAGTAACAGTCACTATCAATGTTTTGTTAATAGGCGTTCATCCACCCCCTTTATTGCATATATATACCTGTTGTCGTCACACGTTCACCACAACCCCATCCCTCTTCCACGGCGCACCGAAGGAGCGGGCCCCCTAAAAATGTTCAGCTTGGTCAGAAACTTCATTATGGAGCCAAAGAGCTAGAGAAGACGGCGAAGGATATATATACTCCCATCCCAGCCATAATCGATCCAGGTGCACCATTCGTCGGGAACCCTGCAGCGGTATGGCTCCATAAAGTCAGTTCCATCAGGGGATGAGCAGACATGGCTGACGAGTGCAGAGACTAGAAATATATAGTTTTTCATTTTAGTGAAGGTTAAGTAAGAGTTTACTTCACATGAACTTTGCAACGCATGATCTTTCGGATGGAGCATGACACCAAACAAGGATAGGTGACGTGTTCTTGAATTGGGAGTATTGGTCAAAGGACAGGGTTCGGGTTGATCTTTCGAGACAACGCGTAACATTCTCGCTCTTCTGTCTTTTAAAATCCTCCCTTCCTCTTTTATATTCTCTCAATATTTTTAACATCATCAACCTATTGGTAACAACTCTTCTCTTATCTATTCGATAAACGTAGGATAAATTTGCCCTAGACCGTGTGCGTTTGAAACAAGGTTCTAGATCATGATATCCTTAAACAGGAATTTGCTCAACTGCGATTTTGCGAGTCCAATTAACTGCTTCAGAAAAAACGCAATTCATGTCCACTTCACAGCTACGGCAGTACAAAGTGTTATTGCGATAGCACAAACTATATTTCTAAATCCCTTCCTTTCCTAAATCTTCCAGATCATGATCTTATCACTTACAATTGTGTATGTAGTTAGCTAGACGAAGAAAAAACCTCCAAATCACCTTTTAGTACGAAATTAACTCTATTAATCCCTATAACTAAGCGCGGAGCACGGTTTGAAGCCAAATCCAAACGCAGTGCACCCTGAATTTATAAATCAACCAATATTCGACCCAGGTTAAGACCATCCGAGTGATGCCTTGTGAAGATTATATACCCGTAATCCGCATTCGGCGCTTTCTTGGCAACTCCCGCACCAGATGTGACTGACCAGCCCGTGCCAAGCCTTTGTAATCCTGCACACTAGTGGGGAATATGCACAGGTGGGAACATCGCGAGAATCCCAAAGCCGCGCAGGATGGCTTCACAAAATGGCGTTCCGATTCAGGCCAACCACATCACATCGACCCTGCAAGCCCCAAAACGCAAAAACGCCAAAACGCCATTACAGCTCTTGTTTGTACCGTGTAGGCAAACGCGGGAAGGCATACGCTCTCTCCATATAAGGCTGAACATCCATAAGTTTCCTTCTCAGCTCCCCCCACCAGCAAAAACAGCATCTGCGGCCCACATCAACAACTCCTTCCCGGCTTAATGCGGTCGCGTTCACTCACTCAGAAACCTGATCGGGTTTCTACCAGCAAAATCTTTGCTGGCGATGGTTGCGCTAAATGTTCAGCTGTTTAGGTACCACCCAAAAGGTACAAACTTGGTTCCTGTCACAACGACTGCAACCTCGTCTATTAACGGTCGAGGTGCATAACTAATGCATATATGATCTGATCAAATTTAGAGTTTCAGGGCTACGCCGACTGTATGTGTGGGCCGAACATTTGGTTCTTCCGGCAGCTGAAGAAACTCGTGTTTGACATCCTCAAATCTCCACCAAACACACACTCAATATCTATAACGAGCCGAAGCCACGTCATGTCGTGGATATATCTGAAGACCCGAAGAAACTTTATCAAAACTAGACTTCGTGGACGGTTCAAAACAGGGGCCGATGTATTGGGTCACAAATGTCCATTGATGGGGAGAAGGGTCAACGTCACAGGACATTTATTTATGGCTCTTGTGACGTTTCTTTTTCTTTCCTTCAACGGTCATTTGAGACTATTCATCATCTCCTCTTTTGATCCCACTGCGGGGTCGGGATTTGGGTGAGTTTCTCGGTCTTTGAGGATATCCAGCCAAGTAAAGTAGTAGCTTCGCCCAATTCTGTTTTTGTTAAAGGTGTATTATTGGTGAGTGTACTAGCGCGGCTCTATCTAGCGGCTCTTTGGGATCTGGCTGACCGGAGACGAACTATTTAAGTATTTACCAGAATAATCAAGGCATAAGGCATCGCTCTAGGTTATCCTGTAATATTGTGGAATGTCGTCTTTGGAGTGCTGGAGATTCTTTGATCGGATGCGGACCAATTCAAGGCCACGACGGGGTAACCATTGTCCGTTGCTTTTGACCACTCGGCCGTACCTCGGGCTCGCTTAGTGATCGAGGGAAACCCAACCCAAGAGATATCTCGCCGGAAACAGTCCGAAGAGGAGCAATTCGAAGAAAGACAGAAATCGCAGCATCGGTTGTAAGCAACAGCCTAATCGGCCTCTTGTACATAAATACGGTTATGCTACGCCTTCTTGTTCCTCGCCTTTCAGTAGGTCAACTCGTTCACCTTTCACCACGCAATAAACTCAACATTTCGACTCGAACGATGACTACCAATATCACTGATCTATTCACCGACAAAGCCTCAAATGGCATCATCGACCTATGGTTTGCTGAGGTAGGGCCTCACCCTACCCAGGAGCAAGCAATGCGCTGGTTCAAGTCCGACGAAGGATTCGACGAAGAGATCCGGTATATTTTCCCACCCCATTATCATTACCCCCGCATGCGCACCCGATATATACTAACCCTACCGCAGCACTAAATTCGGCCCCCTCCTCACGCAAATAACCTCAACCCCACCCTCCACCATCCTCACCCTCGCTACCACCCCCCACCGCGCCCTCTCCCTCATCATCCTCCTCGACCAATTCCCGCGCAACCTCTTCCGCGGCGACCTCTCCGCGCAGGTCTACACCACCACCGACCCTCTCGCTGTCGCCGTCGCCAACCACTCCATCGCCAACCACCTCGACCTCGGCCTCAACGGCGAATGGCGTACCCTCCTCTCGCGGCGAATGTGGTTCTGGCTGCCCTTCACGCACTCGGAGGACCCGGCGCTGCATGTGCGGGCCCAGGAGGAGTTTGGGAAGCCGACGCTAGAGCTAATCGGGGAAGGGGAGGGGAAGGAGATGGCAGCGATGCTGGTTAAGGGAGGGGCTGAGCATCTGGAGGTTGTGGAAAAGTTTGGGAGGTATCCGTACAGGAATAAGGTTCTTGGAAGGGAAAGTACGGAGGAGGAGAAGAAGTGGTTGGAGAACCCGGTACATTGGGCGAGGTGAGGGGGTGTGCTGCGGGACGGGTGAGACGTCGTGATGCGGATTGGGTGTCGTGTGGTGGGCGGTGGTGCGGAGTGCGGGTACACACATGTAGAGTACATGTCTACAGACAGGCCTTCAGATGAGCGGATGTAACGATTGTGAACCTTAACCTTAAATCTGCCGTCCAGTGGTTTATGTCATAACGATACCGTGCAGCTCACAAGCATTTCATAGGTGAACTACGATATAACCCAAGACCTGGGAATCAATTGGTAAACTCTAACAGTCACGTGCTGTGAAGTGCTAGCTTAAGATATTGTGAAATACTCAAATTGATAGATCCCAAAGGAAAGCAAAAACATTCAATACTCCCGCCTATTTCACATTGAAAACTATCTGCATCTCCCTGATCTCACTACCTTTTTGTTCATTTGAGCTCATACCCTATATCTAGCACCCACCCTTAGCAAAAATTACATCTAAATCTCCAGAGTAGTACTAATCAACCTACCCCAATTCTCATCTCCCTCCACCTCCACTAGCTCCACCATATCCCCCACCTCCACCTCCCCCATCCCCCCCGCCTTTCCCTTCCCCTTCCCCGGCCTCGGCGTATACATACTCAAATACCCCCTACTTCTCCTACACCTACACCCCCTTCCCTCGCCCCCACTGCCACCAGGCCCACACCGGCTCGAAAACCCCCTCGGACACGCCTTCTCCCCATACACCCTCCCACTACACGTACATACCCACGTGGCCTCCTTCCGCATCTCCGGCGGGGCCGGCACACACTCAAAGTCGAACATGGGCGGGCAGTCGGGCTGCTTGGGGTAGGAGCAGGAACACTCGGTGGTGATGTAGTCGCTGCAGTACTTTGTTGTCCCCGGGGGGCAGGTGGATGTTGCGGGAGTCATGGCGTAGCATTCGCAGGAAGAGGTGGCGGTGGGCGGGGTGCCGGAGCGGAAGCAGAAGTAGGTCCACGGGGATGGGCAGGTGTAGAGTTGGGTGGTGTGTGGAGTGGAGAGGAGGGTTGCGGTGAGGGCGGGGGGGAGGGCGGTGGGGGAGCTGGAGGCGGGGGTGATGAGGAGGGCGGGGAGGAGGGGGAGGAGGGTGTGGAGGGCGTGGAGGGCGTGCATTGTGGGTGGTGTTTGTGTGTAAATGTGGTGATAGGTAAGTGTGTAGATATACTAGTAGATAATGGTCATGTGGGGTTTGAAATATCGATTTGGTAGAGATGGAGATTTGAAATATAGGTAGGGCAGAGAGGAGAGATATATACTGGTTAGGCACCCCAGATATATAGATTCCCCGCCCTCCTCTCCCACTCCGATAACGTGCCAGAGTGACATGTTGGCAGCAGTGACAGGTATGTTTCAGCCTGGCAGGAATTCCACTGAGGCCCAACCAACAAGGTGTTGTTGTTCTCCCAGTGTGCAGTCAATTGGGTCGCCAATGATAGGAATGTATGCCTTTTTTCTTTTTTTCTTTTTTTTGAAACGTACATACTTATGCACATGCACGGTACCCGTCATTGCAGGCCAGTAATAAACTGAGGAAAAGCAATCTATTCAACTGATCGCAGAAATATATGTAGGTAGTAGTTACTCCATTATGATTACAGATTCTAGGTCTCGCCCTCTACAAAGGCAGGTATTTCCCAACTTTTCTCCAGAGATCGCACCGCTTTTTCAGCATCGTTAACGGCTCCTCCGAGAAACCGTCGGCTTGCACGATCCACTCCTTTCCGCTCTTCACCTCTGGCCATAGTACCACGCTGTCGTTTGTAAGCTTGTTTGCGTTTGGGTTTCCAGTTTCGATGAATGAAGCATAAGCTCCGGCATAGCCTTGGTATAGGAAACGCTGGGTGGTTTGCAGCGAGTTGACAGAGTTCCACTGGATCATTGTTAGCTTAAGACTTCGTAGAGTAAAATGCGGTGCTCTCTTACATATCCGACATCACTGGCATGTTTGGCAGGTGAGATGGTGTATTCGCCAACATATCCTGCCTTCTTGCTTGCAGTCGAGATCCAGTATCCTGGGCAAGAGAGAACAACATCGCGATACACATAACCAGCTATACGCCAATGTCAGTTAGCTTGAGAATTTAACTACCTTGGATGTCTCATTTACCTCTGTCCTGCTGTGTGGTATAAACGGTGCTGCCATTCGTTGTCGCTGGGGGGTACAGTGCCTTCACCTCCGCGACATGCTTCTCTTTCAAACCGGGCAAGAAGCCGTCCAACCAAAACCTAAACCCTTCTTCTGTTGAGTTCCACGCCGCCGTCCCACTTGTGCCTGTAGAAGCAGCCTTGTTTAACGCCGAAGAGACAAAGGTCGATCCTTCAAACCTGTTGTACATCCCAATCGCATAGTCCGAGTTAACCCTCCCCTTCTCCGTTGCGGAGGACAAGCTCTCTCTGAGAAACTCTCCATCAATGACTGGTGCCCAGGTGTAGCTCGATGTAGTGGTTGTATGCATCGCATTGATGATCTGATTCGCGTCTCTAATTTTCTGCACATCAACCTCCTTCAAGCACTTCAACGAGTCCTCCGCCGTCGCGCACCCCGTCAAGTTTGCCAAAGTACTATAGATCTCCTCCGCTTCTGGCGCATCATAGCGATAGTTACGTGGCCAGAACGGAGAAGATGCGATGGCTTTTGTGAAGAGCTTTGGGGTGGTATTACCACCGTTTGCAAGAACCTGGGCAACGACGGAACCACCACCGGCGCTCTGCCCCCAGATGGTGACGTTTTGGGGGTCGCCGCCAAACTTGGAGATGTACTTGTTGACCCATTTCAGGGCTGCCTGTTGGTCGAGGAGTCTGCAGTTCAATCGGTGTCAGTGAGGTTGTATGATGGGAATGTGAGGATAGCTAGGATTATCACGAACCCTGGGTTTAGGTCCGATGTGGGGGATTCCTTGATTTTCTTGCCGGGTAGGAGGCCAAATGCATTTGTCTACACGTGCGCGTTAATATAAGCATTGTACCAGCCGAAGATTCATGCAGTTAGGAAAGTGTGAAAATACCCGGTAATTAGGATAAACCGCAATGTAGTTTGTCGGCTCGGAAACATTGAGGACCGGATATGAAGACGGCGGCAGCGTCAGCCCGGCTGCTCCCTGAATGAAACCACCACCATAAAAGCTAATATAAAATCTTAGTGTCGCCGTACAACCATTCTTCAACTGGCATACTACTCACAACATCATTACCGGCTTCTTTGGCGCACCTTCAGTCCATGGGCGGGAGTAAAGTGTCAGATACAAACAATCCTCCGATCCATTGACAGTTCTCTGCGGGCACATATCATACTGTAACGACTTAGCTCCAGTTTATAGCACATATATATAACAGCTAGAAGATGAGACAAACCGGTATATCAGCATCGTAAACGCCGTCAAAAGTCCCCACTGGCTGCGGTCCCCTAAACCGGTTCTCCCCAACAGGAGGCGCCGCGAACGGAATCCTTCGAAAATACGAGATGTTATACGCTTCATTATACTTTCCCTGAAGCGAAACATAGTCCAACGTCACCAATGGATCCTCGTACGCCGTCGCAAGAAATGGCAAAACCGCCGTGATCAAGAAACTTTTGAACAGCATTATTGACAATCGTCGGGGGAACTGTTATGTTGCTCGTTGGAAAAACCTCACATTGGGGTTCATATGGCAGCCTTTTAAGCAAAACTCGGCCCTAGTCAGAGTGCTTCCCTTTTTTTTATCCATCAAGTGAACCCCGGAATATCTCTCCCCGCGGGGTAGTAACCGAAGTATGGGGAAATTGTGCACTATATAAATCCCTACCTGTCCCCGGATATTATGGCAAGAAGCTTTCCAGATATTCAGCACTAATATAAAAAGTGGTTAAAGGGGGATATATAAACGGTTATATTGGCTAGTGATTCGGGCGAAAAGAATGCGTGAAGATTCTCCCCCTTGCACCCCGAATATCAATGCTTAATTCAGCCTCGGGCAACATAACACCGACGATCTCCGGTTGTACGATGGATTCAGGGGGAGTATGCTAAACTTGATGTTCCGTTCTTCCGTGCTTTTGTTATGACGCAGGTACAGCCCGGTTGATCATATCTTCGAATTGAGGACGGTAGCACCTTGGAAGGTCAGTCGTTTTTCTTCTTATCTTTCTTTGGTTTGTGTCTAAAAGTGAAGAAAACACAGCCGATGAATACAGACGTACTTGATTCCTATTTCGAAGACTTTACGGTGGGTTTCTGCACGCTACAGTGCATCAAATTGTGACTGTGAGTATATGATCTAGCTTCCATAGCTGGAGGCGGAATCTAATCACTAGAAACGTCGGTACCCAGGTTTCCAGTATTCTTTGTACTTTAAGACTGTTTCATCTAGTTAACCCACGGTGTGTTAAAAACGTTGACGTGTATCTCTACATACCTGACGGTTTACGTGCCCGTCAACTTATGCTGTGGAGACTTCATCTCTTCCACCATCGTTACAGTGCTGATAGAAGGTTGCCCGATTGCGAGCTAGAATCAGTAACAATCAACGAGTAATCGAACGATGCCCTTGAGAATGCGAAGATGATGCGCGACAGGCATTTATATTCAGTGCTAGCAGCATAAGAGGTGTCATTTTGAGAACGTTATGATTGGGGACGTCTGTTGCGTACACGTATACTACATAGTACGTATCGCCTTAGAACGAAACTTTAAAAGAAACTTTGTTATTAGAGCTAGTGATACACTTACAGCCTGAAGCGCACCAATTCTATTGTGTAATCAAGTCCAAGGCCGGAATTACAGGTGGTTCGCCGGCCGTTTTTCAAAGCTGCTGTTCACTACCACCACAGCCTAGAAAAATCACAAGTACATGTCGTCTCAAAACTCCATGTCTCAGCTCTTATATCGTTACTAGACTCTTATTCTCAGCCTATATTTGCTACATCCCCAATCACTATTGATATTTTCACCATTGCGCAAAAGCCCTTGCTAGAAAAAGTTTAAGTTGATATCCGGTCATCGATTATCACTCGACTGACAGGAGAACAAGTGACTTGCGTCGATTTTGTGGCGTGATACTTTAGTCAGTACTATAAATTGTATGTGAGTCAAGTTTAGTAATATGTGGAGGCTTTGGGAGTTTTCGGGTGATTTCAACAGACTGTCATATCTACATAGAAAATATATATCTAAATTTGATAGTCAGATCCAGGCCCGGTTTCGATTAGTATTCTTGGTGCTATATACATGTATCTATACAACAACGTTCAAGCTTGGTTTGCTGAAACAGCTATACAGTGGAGTCTCGATAGTATCATATGGCGGGCTTCATCTAGGCGGTACTATCGAGAATATACTTTTATCAAAAGCCAGTTTACCCATCCTGGTTTGTCTCAATTAGTCAACGAGATATTTTACATGTAGTATCATATAATGATATTATTGGGACTCCGCTGTAATATAATAAACACCCGAAACCAAAGAAAGCTATGTGTTAAATCGGAGGGCTTTAAGTGCTATAGCACTCACAGGACTCCAGGACTCAGAACAATCGTTGGATGAAGCTGGTTTGTCACCCGACGCTCCAAAGCCCCCGGGATAATAATCAAAGAATTAGGAAAAGATTGAAGTAAAAAGGAAGATAATGAGTTCAGTACTCAGGATTCCCGCATGGTCACCCACTACAGTACTGGCTGAGCGATACGAGGCTTGTGTATGGCAGAGCGAACGGGATGCCCAATTCTCATCGTTCTATGACTGAACACATTGATCACTCGGTGTTTCGGAAATTTCTTCATGAGATATCACTCGGTATTTAAGAAAAAAGTTTATTTTTCTTGGATTTTCTGGATCAAGCCTTATGATTTTACTCTAAAACATGCTAGTAAAGAAGAAGTCTCATTAGTCTCAGGATAACCTTAACTTAATTTCTGTTGTACCTATAATAACCCCCAAATCGTTTATGGAGCGGTAAATGTGTCAAAAGTAATTTTACCAACGGTAGTAAATTATTTACCACCGGTGGTATAAGCACTGGATTTCAGTCATTGTGTCTGCACGCTATCCTACATTAGTACATTTCCCACCGTATAAACACTGGGTTTCGGTCTTTATGCTGCGCTATACTACATAAGTAAATGTTCAATCATTAATGCCAAAACCTATGAAAATTTCCCACCGGTGGTAAAATTCCCCACCGATGGACAATTTTCATATATATTGGCATTATATGGCCCCTTTTGGTCAAAAGGTCTGTGCTTTTATCATAAAAATTAGGATTATAGGTATAAATACTGGTATTATTTTCACCACCGGTGGTAAAATAATTTACTACCGTTGGTAAAATTACTTTTGACACATTTACCGCCCTATAATCGTTGGTCTCAATAAAAAGTCTACATACAAGTCGCAAGTGCACTGTGCCCTCACGTTTAGTTCTAATCAAACAGCACTCATTAATATGGTAATAGCACATTAGAAGTTTTGGTGTAAAAGTCATATATTGGTAACGCACATGTTACATACTAACCTCCAATATCAGTAATTGTAGTTCTGCATGGTTCACTCACCAGCATCCAATGCTTACTACGTAGTATCTATATCGAACGAACAATGTGGAATAAGCCTATAGCTAGGTATTTGCACATTCACCGGTAATTATTGCCTATCTCTATAGCTCGTGTCAATGTGCCCCACCTTTTCTCGAGTCCCAATATCTGCCCGAAAGCCTCTCGGATCACAAAACTCGGCGAGTCCGGGACCTGAAGTCCCTCGGCCGCGGATTTCGGCAGTCTGTAAAGTCAATTAACCCCGGAGATGCCTAGAAATTGGTGGCGCTGGTGTATCCATGCTAGTTCGTTTATGTGGCTTTTCAGCCCCCCCGGGGGGGAGGGGGGCGCATTCATCGGTTATCACTCGGTTTTTGCGCTGTGCCAAGAATAGGGCGTAGTGAAGTTTGGGGCACAATCCGAGCCCGACCTCTGAGGGTTCGACTTGTATGTCTAAAGACCTAGGAAGCTCCATGTAATGTGGTAAGCCCGGACTCGGGCTCGAGCTTTTTGTACGAGTGGAGGGCAATGCCATCCTAGCTATATATCTACACCTACCCCACTTTTCCACCGGTGACTTCCTAAGCCATTCATACAAGCAGTCAGCGATAACACTATCGGGTCCATTCGGTGCTATGGTCTGCAGTCGGAAGTTGGAGGGAGAGCATTTGGTTCTACGAGGTAATGGCGATTTAACCCTTGACAGAAATAAGCTCTGACTGGCTTGAAATAAGGCGCCTTTTTCACGCTACTTTATGCCCTAAAGTGGTGTGATATAGAGCTCGATAAAAGAAGCTTTATCTTGTGGCGTATCACAAGCTTAAACCTTGGTCTGGAGCTCTCTCGTTTGTTTCATTACTAATTAATATTGGTAGAATTTAAATAGATTTGGACACGCTGTAGCTAGTAGCAAGGGGAGAACTCGAAATGAGGGTAATTATGTGGTGGAGCCTAGACCTGTTCTGATTGGTATAGGTGGATAAAGAGAAAACCCGAGGCTATTTTACAAGTATTTGATAGCTTTTGAGTGGCAAATTACAATTTGATTACTATTCTATAAGGCCACATATTGACGAAAAGTCTCTCAACTTAATCAAAGTAAATCTGTGGAAAAGAAGCGAATAAGTCGTAACCAGTCGAGCACTTATTGGCTCCCGTATAATTACTAGTTTTACTTGCTGGTAGAATCGTCCTCGTGCACGTGGTCTCTAAGACCACAACTCATAAGCCAAATTTACCAATACTTCCCTAGCTCTATAACGTTAACTCCGGGCTTAGATAATCACTTATATTGTCTAGAAATCGAAGGTAAAACCTTTTATTATCAATCAAAAGGCCTCTCAAGTAATAGGACTTCCAAACTGGCCCTTGAGTGGGAGGTCTTTGCGAGCTGCTAGTACATACATAAAATCAAAGCTAAACTACTAGCCCCGGAGAAATCTCCCATAATTCGGGGACTTTTTAGAGTCTTGGTAGTGGATTTTAGCTGGTATGGAGCTGCAGACATTGGTGCTGCATATATTTCATGGGACTGGGGCATTCGAAGAGAGGTGTAACTTCAATCAATGCACGTGGCCAAATGAATTACATGTACCTACATGTACTCTATGTACATGTATGCACTCTTACTAGGCCAGCATTGGCGGCGACAGGCGACGGGACGCTCCGTGGATAAGGCGACGCATACATCAGGGTTAGGGCAAACATAGCTCGTAGAAATATGTGACAAGATCACAACCTAACAACCCATCCCCACGCTTAATGGTTCAAAGAAATATTTTTCAGTTCACTCCACCACTTGATTTGACTTTGGATCTGCTACAAGCCCGAAGTTTGGCCTTGATTCTTCCTGAGCTACTCACGATAATGCTAACGATAGCTAGGCATGGAGGTACCTACAACTCTAGCAATGGAGACAGAGCTGGCTCGATCGAGCTCTAGGACGAGCTTGAGCTTAGCTTAAAAACTTGCTCGAGCTCACCTCAATAGCTAGAGGAGCTTTCCAGATCAGGCTTATGACCCCCACGAGTCAGCTCGGGCCAGCGGCCAGGCCCGTGCCCATCATCAATCATCATGAAGGTGCCCTAGTTATGATAATATCTTTTCAGGGATGTAATTGGTTGACTGTGCTCGGTAATCGTCTCCTACCAAAAATCAGCGAGTTCCTTTAGCTTCGATCCCGGGAGGAAAAACTTCAAATAGAAATTGGTAAATATTTAAGAAAAGCTTTCTCTTTCGCCGCTTACATACTCGCAGTCCTTTCATCAGAGCACGCGACCTACTACGGGATGGAATTTATTTCTCTCATTGTGCGTTATTTTGTGTTTGGGAGCTATGGTCGTTCATGTTACATCACTCGGGCCAACCGACCAACGCCCCGGGGAACCTTTCGTTGTTGTCAAACCACCCAGGTCGGAGATACTGAGAGAGGTTCGCGATTTGCCCGCCACTCATTTATTTATTTCAGTCGATGTAACAAAGCGAGGAGGCCAGCTATGTAAGTTCACGGTTCACTTGCATCCAGTCTTTAACCTTGGAGCTAATAGCGTAGATTCAGACAGCTGCACAGCTCTGAAATATCTTTCATAAAATGTAGGTATTTACACCTTAGGCAGTAGGTACTGTCGTTCGCGGGGTATTGGCGGATACTGGGTGATGGCGGACAGGGCAAAAAAGAGACAGCCAAGCCAACTTTTACCTGCAATTCGCCAATACCCAGTATCCGCCAATACCCCGTGAACGACAGTACATATTCCACGGCGAATCTTACCTCTCATCAGGGCTCTATGATACCGCTCGAGGTCCGTTGTATTGAATCCCGGTACTCGGCATGCATGTACGTACATACATACATGAAACGAGCAGTTTGCGGTAAGGCCCGGCCTCAACATTATCGGATCAGCGGAGCTCCGGAGACTTGGCCGTTATCCACGTTTATCCTCTCCTCTGCAGAATTTCTGTGGTTCGTGCGGCCTACAGACGATACACATACATGTATGTTATTCGACAGCTACTATGCCTAGTACTGTCTACAACCTGGTTTTGGGTCTGTGCGGTTGAGATTGGGTTTTGAGGTGTTTCGCGAAATTAAAGTAGGGCTAAATCTAACCCGATTAGTTCCTGCCAGGGCCAGGCACGTACATACCCCACCAAATATTTCCGCCATAACCTTGCATGGTGGCGGTGTAAGGACAGAAATTCCTAGGATGAACCATTTCATGATGTTTCAAAACATTTGTTTGCATTTAAATTTGCCCACCCGAATCTAACCCATGAGACGGTTTGCAGACTAACTAGTAAGGTGATATTATTTTATACAAGCATAACTTATAAGCTAAAAAGGAAAACCGAAACCCCTCCCAGAAATACTGAATCAAATAATTTAGTTGGTAAGACCCATGGTGATACCGAGGTGCTCGCCAGCAAGGATAGCACCCTTCTCTCCAATGACAAGAGCGGTTGAGTAGGTGTTGCTTCCAACTATGATTGAAGAAATTTGTTAGCATCTCAAAAACACCAAAGATGATTGGGAAATAATTACCATTTGCAGGAGCGATGGACAAATCGATAACCTTCAAGTTCTCGACTCCGTAAACGTTCAACTTGGCGTCAACCACACCACCCTCCTCACGGGGCTTCATGGCATTGGTACCAAGAGAGTGCCATGTTGTTCCAATGTTTTCCCTCATCCACTGCTCAACGGCCTTATCGTCCTCCTCAGAGTAGACAAGGTTTTCAATTGGCTTCTTTTTGTCAAGAGGCTCGCTGGTGACCTCGTTCTGTGCTGCAATGTTTCCAGAGACAACCACACCAGCAGTGACACCCTTATCTCCCTGAAGCTCCCTAGAAGTATCGATATCGATCTCGATAGCACGTGCAGGGGATGTAGCGGGGAACTTGGGGTGTAGTGCGGCAACCTCTCCACGATAGCAGGGCATGCGACGAACGAGCTCACGACCAAGCTTGTAACCCCAGATGTTAGGGCCAAGATCGGCGGGGTGGGACAAGTATGCTGGGTCAAAGTCGGCCTCAACGTACGGATCGGCGCTGGTGATGTGGAGAGAACCACGACTGGCGGGGTACTCCAGGTAAGTACCGATGGTAACGTATTTACCGCCTGGGAGCAGGGAGTGGTCGCCAAGGAAGGCATTTACAAGCCCAGCGAACATAACTGGCTTGTCCGGTGCATCCTTAAAGTACTCATTCCAGTACTTCCTGAACTCTGGGCCCATGGCCTCAATCTCCTCCTCGGATGGACGGAGCTTGCTACCAGCATCGATGAAGTTTGTTGTGTAAATACCCTTAGCCTCTTCCAAATCTTTCACTCCCTGAGCGTGGACCTCTGGGATTCCGCGCAAGAAGTCATCGTGAGTCTTTGTTTCAGGAGCAACTCTGTAGGCGGGGAGAATGAGGTTATGGTCCTGGTAGTTTGCCCCAACTCCGGGAAGGTCAACCTTGCACTCGACACCGGCCTTCTCAAGTATCTCACGAGCACCAACACCAGATCGTTCCAAGACGGTGGGGGACCCAAGGGAACCGGCTGACACAACGACAAGCTTCCTTGCTGTAACAGATTGAGGGACTGGCTTGGGAGCGCCCTCTGCCGGAGGTGCAAATGGCACATATTCAACACCGGTGGCCTTTCCGTTCTCAATAACAACTTTAGAAACCTTAGAATCACACAAAAGGTGGAGGTTCTTGTTCTTTTCCATGACAGGGTGGACATAGTTGTGCGCGGTGTCACTTCGGAGACCGGTCTTAGGGTTAATCCATTTTCCCCAACGCTCGAAAGCGTGAGCACACTCGAGATCCTGGAGATCATCGACAACTTTGTAGCCCATGTCTTGAGCGGCTTGTAGGAATTCCTCGGTGTTAGGGGCGGGAGAAGCTCCATGGCAAACAGCGAGGGGTCCGTCGAAACCGTGGATCTTTGGGTCAGGGTTCTCGAGGTTGTAGGACTCCATCTTCTTAAGGAGAGGAATCAAATCATCCGCTGACCAACCCTCAGTTTTCCAGTCATCGTAGTCACTATTGAAAAGTTAGTCAGGAGCTCTCGGCCATCTACTTGAGGGGATGGAATAAATACGATTTGCTAGCTCTGGTGTACATCATGAAGTTGATGGAGGAACCGCCACCCAACATGTTTCCAGTGGGAACAATGGGTGAGCGGCCACCGAGGAGCTCGGAATGGCGTCCCGCATAGAACTTTGCTGTAGTGGATGTGGGCGCAAGATGAGAGAGGAACATAGCGGGTCGTCTGACCTGAGGGTCATTGAGATTGTTCTTTCCACCCTCGACAATGAGGATTTCAAGGTTGGGGTCGGCTTGAGCGAGTCTTCCAGCGACGATACAACCAGCAGCTCCACCTGTTGTGTTGAATGTTGGTCAGTGAAACTAGAAGCTAAAATGAAGCAATTGAGGAGCAACGAACCTCCAACAACGATAACATCAACTTCTTTTGGGGGAGACATGATTTATGATAATAGTAGTAGAGGAGGAAAGTCTTCTAGGTGTTGTAGTATGAGATGGAATTTGATGAGGAGTGTATACCGATTCTTGAGGAAGATTTCGACCATCTTATATAGTGGTATTTTACCCCAGGCAATCTATTCTGACCCTTCGAGGGGGCCACGTGGAAATGAGATACCTCAGGCAGGTCAGCCTATCGCTTTTTTGGCGATCATATCTCGATTCCCGAGGGGGTGGTGGCGCCCAACACGGCAACTCCAGACAACTCATTCATGCACCTGTACGGGGTGGCCTTACAAATGGTTCCTCTCAATCTTTCAAGCACGTTTGAGGAGAAATAATTGCCAGGAGAACACGGTATATTCCGATTAGCTATCTGGCTTGGTAGTTCATTGCATGTTCTGAGAAAACTAAGCAGAATAGCAGGTAACTCAGACCTCCGAAGCTTGCAAAGATATCGCCAAACAGACCAATTCCTCCTACCCCTCCTAACTCCTCCCCCATTTTTGGCCGGTCAAAGACAATTGTTATAGTTGTCTCAAGATTCGTATTTAAGAGGGGTTGGATACATGTATGCAATAACTGAACACATGTATGTCAATTGCGCAGCTGTTGAGCAATTGATGTCTCCATAGTACATAAAGTGCGTGGAGGCTGCGTGTGTGAGATACATGAGTACACAAGCTCTGACCTCCCGCCTCTTACTAGCATGTCTGTTTCGCATGGCTAGCCCACCACATGGCCTCCATGGTGCCCCTAACTCTAACCACTTAAAACCCGTCCCAATCGAATCAAGGAGGAACTACACTTTCAGGGCCGCAAAAAAGTGGAGAATTAAGACATCCGGGTGCAACGGCCGCTAATTGTGCTGTTCTCAAATCCCTTATCCCAAAACGACTATACTTAGGAAAATTTACCTTACTGAGCAAAAAGTCCCCCAAAACCCTCTTTTATGCACCGGAACCAGAGCCCCAATTTGAGAAGGAAAGATATGCTCCCGCAGGTCCATAGGGAATCATCCCATCAAGAATTCGTCGGGATGCAAAGTGTGTGCGTCGTGCAGGCAACAGTGAGAGGAAAGCAGCCCGCATATGGAAGGATCAAAACGCCCACCTGCCGCCGGGTAGTGGAAGTCCCTTAACGAAGCAATAATGGAGACCCACTACTAGCTAGTACCACCACCACTGGCGGAGTTATCCTAGTAACCTTTCAACGGTAGGGGGTTCCAGATATGGTTAGCTGCCAAACCTCACACTGCAACGCCTACATGATACATAAATTCTTCGCTTTGCAAGGAAGTCCAGGAGTAATCTATGTACGTGCGTAGAGTACTCTAGGTACAGATGCAACTTTCTCTGCTGCTTTGTATTCTGCCTGTCGTCCAATCGCTATGAGCATTAGACGAATAGCCGATTTTACCGCGCGTACAGGTATAACTTATGTGGTGTGCATGAAGGGCAAAGGGTTAAAAAGCCTCTATAGTTAGTGGCATTAAGGTCTGTGGACATCAAGTATTCTTAGAACCTGCTTCTTTCAAGCCAGGTTTTCCGGAGCCTCGATTAATGAAACTACAAGGAAACACGGGAAAGTCAGAGCAGAATTTTCTGCTCAACCCTCAAAACCTCTCCTTTGACGATCATTTTCCGAAAACTCTCAATCTTACGCCCCCAATTCATGTGCATTGTGAATTGAGGTAAATAATAGCCTAAGAGAACCGTGCATTCTGTGAAGAGTACGTGGCATTGTAGCCCACACTCCCCATAGCTAGAAAGTAAAAATGACGATCCGGATTTAAAAGATGGAAGGCGAATAAGACAAGACGACAAGGTGGCGTGCACGTGATTAACGCCATGCGTGGAGGGTGATGTACTGTATGTAGGTACCACCGTACCACAAGCGATAGTGGTAATCTGCCTCGTGGTAGTAAAAGCACAACATTGAGCGAAGCTTTTAGAAAAGCCACCCGATGGGTTGGCTGCATCATAATATGTAGTCGTATTATTATGCTTATATGCCTTACATATAGGTCATTAATATCGACATAGTGTAACAAATCCACCTCAGGCACTCTACGACTTAATTCTATTACCAGCATTACATCTACGATATTATACATATGTTCTATTGATTATGTCCTCTTGATGAAGTAATAAGGCTATTGATTGAACGAATGACAGAGCGGATCGCATATTATGGATCAACGTTTGAAGAATATACATGCAGTCATCAACAATTCGGTATCCTACCAGGAGGATCTTTTTTTCAATCTGCGCGCGCAGCACCCGACGTTACTCTAAATACAATCTCTTCCGCAACAGTGTGAATATATGTAACTCCTTGGTTACA